GAGCCGCAGACTACAAAATAGGAATAAGTGAGCCTCGGCCAGTATTCGAACCGACAACCATCCGCGACCCGGGCGCGCGTTCTACCAACTGAGCCAATGGGGCTATTGCATAGTTGAAGCCTATCTCCGCTGTGGGTCACACCCCGAAACATATGGCTGGCAGAGGGGCAAAAAGGGCTCCGTCGACTAGATTCGAACCAGCGACTGTTTGCGTACCGGCCCATCACATCAGGTGTTAAGTCATGGTCAGCGCGAAAAATAGCACCCGGCGGAGATTCGAACGAGAGACCAGGTTACCGGGCCTGGACGCTACCGACTTGGCCACGACGGAACGATACAGAGTATAACTTTCGGCGGTATCCAGATCTCAGCTGTGACTGACTCCCGAAGACACTTGGCCAGCAGAGCAGGAAAAATGACCGCGGACGGTTTCGAACCAATGACCATCTCCACGGTCTGCCAACGATCACGCTTTAACACGCTCGACTACCAGTTTGCTCCTCTGAGCCGAGGTCTGAGCTCGGTCCTGCCTAACGGGGACAAAAAGCGACAAAGAAAAAATTTGCCCCGCCCGGGAGTTGATCTTAGGGCCGACAATTTTGGTTCGAATGAAGCTGCATGCGGTTGTGTCGACTGTACTGTTTAACTACAAAAGGGGCGTGTGGCTGGTGGCGTCGGACATCGTATGTTGCCCCATCTGTGACCACATTTTTGTGTCCATGAACAGGGACGTGTCTACTACCTCTTGTCACCGCGACACGAGTTGTCGCTTGGGCCTGCGAGGTAGGTCACGGCTTCTCTCTAAGGCTTCTGTCGTGACGGGGACCTTGGGTCAGAGATCTGCGATGGGCGGGCGGGCTCCGCCCGCTGCCTGAGGTGTGCGAGAGAGAGCGACAGTCATGGGCGGTGTGCTGCGGTGCTGTGGCTTGGCGTGGCGTAGGCAGTCACCGGCCGGACATCCGAACAGTGCCGAAGTCACCTGTGCGGGGTCCGCGCGGGTCGGCGCTGGCCGACAGCTACTCTCGCCACGCCAAAACGGTGCCGAATGAAGCGGGCGGACCATCCGCCCGTCTCCGTGCTCGGTCCGGGCGACCACCCGGCCCATCAACGAAGAGACGGGCCGGGCCGGGCGCTCTGGCGACGAGCGCTCTGTGCTGCCGGGCGGAGGCCGCCCGCCCATCGCAGAACTCTGCCTTGGGTTTAGGCTCCTTTTGACCCCAGGCTCATAAATCCTTTCTAAAGCTAAGAAGTGACGCCGTGTCAATCTGTCGCTGAAACGCCTGGAGGGTAGGCAATGCTTTCCTGAATCGGGCCCCCGCGGTCCCATGTCCCACCGAGCGCCGAGCGCTTTGGACAAGGCGAGATCTTCGGAGCGGCATTGATATCTTTCGTTTTCAGCGCCGTTTACTTCTGGTTGATATTCAAGCATTGACGGAAGTAATAAATTCGTCTATAGACGGTTCAGTTTAAGCGGACTCGGGCACTGTCGGCTGTAGCTACAATCGTGTAGCTACAAGCAGGGACGTGGTTGCTGGGTGCTCCCGCGCTCCATGGTGTTTGTGTTTGTGTCTGGGTGCGTCCGGGGCTTACCGGCTTCCACATTACAGTGATGTTACCAGCCTGCTGTGCCCGCTGCGGTTGATACTCCGTGCTTACCGCCGGCAATACACCTTGTCTTGCCTCCACTTAGGAGGTATGACAAATCGCTAATGAAGATGAGGAAAAGAAGAACACGGGAATAACTGTGTAAACAGTATTTTGTAATCTGCCGCTATGTTTTGAATGAAAAATGATTTCTCAAGAAATTATAGATTTGGATAGATTTTGTCGTTTGTGTCTGAGCGAGGAACATGTCACAAGTCACTTATTTGACAACCCTCATGATGACGCTAATGATTCCCTATGTCAAAAAGTGATAACCTGTCTTTCCGTGAAGGTTAGGAAGATTGTTTGTATCAAATGATCAAAATAAAATTTTAATTAAAATTAAAATTTTGAATCAACTTTCTTTACAGATAACGAGGGGTGATGGCCTACCAGCTATGCTCTGTCAAACGTGTGTTCAGCATATCAATACTCTTTGCTATTTTAAAGAATTAAGTAAATTTGTAGATACTACCCTACGACATAAACTTCTGAACAACAAAAAGCTTTCAAATGTAGGCAAGATAATGCTGGTGATTAACATTTGCACTTTTTATATTTATATAATATTTCCCTCTATTTCTCTATTACAGAATGATTGGGAGAAAGAAATAAAGTTAATTGTAGAAGATACTAAAGCTCTGAAAGCATCAAAGCCCAATCTCATAGAATCATGTAGTACTGCTTCCTCTAAACCTACACCATTGAAGATTGAAAGTGATTGCAATTATAGGTCTGATGCTGACTGTGAAATTTCCCTTCCAAATGCTATTTCATCATTGTCTGATCAAGAGTCCATCAAATCTAAGTAATAAAAACAATCATGTTCTTTGACTGTATATGCTTTTAATGAATCTAATTTCTGAAATTTGTTCCCTTTAAGCAGTGATATTGAGGAGGAAGAGCAGACTGTAGAGAGTCCCTCTCTAAAGAAAAAGAAAAGGTTTGAGTATACTTGTGAATTTTGTGGCCGAACGTTTCCTAGATCAAATCATTTGGCACAGCATGAACTTACTCACGTTGCAGAGAAGCCTTTCCACTGTTCAGAATGTGATAAGAGTTTTTGGTATAAGCAATCTCTTATCGGCCACATCAAACAGACACATACCGGTGATGTAGATTACAAATGTGAGCTTTGTGGAAAGGTAGGCTTTACACTTCTTTCTTTCTATTTTTATTTGTCTTCCGAATGAAATTAATTGTTATTGCTTATTTCAGGGATTTTTTAAGAAGACTGAGTTGACTCGTCACAGGCCAACACATTCAAATGAAACCCCACACAAGTGTCCTCAATGTGGAATGGGTTTTAAAATTACCAAAACATTAAAAAGGCACATACGGAATGTTCACACAGCGCAGCGGTCATATACCTGTCATATGTGTGGCAAAAGTTTCATCCAAGCCCAAACATTAAAGGTCAGTTTGTTTTTCTCTTGGAAATGTCTGCGCTTCATATCACACCATTTGTTTCCCATTTGTAATTGTTGGTTATATTAATTTGTAGGTGCATATGGTTTTACATTCAGGAGTAAAGCCATATACTTGTTCTTATTGTGGAAAGGGTTTTGCTCAATCAGCTCCCCTGAAGACCCACATTCGAATACACACTGGTGAGAAACCATTTTCTTGTCATGTATGTGGAGATTGCTTCTCAACACGATCTGCATTAAATTCTCATGCTTTTAAACATAGTGATAACTTCCCTTACCATTGTACACGCTGTTCTGAAACATTTCGGTTAAAAAGGGATCTCATCCAACATGAACAAGGTCATGATGACCATGAGAGTTTTTCCCAAAATTCCATTAAGCAAGATCTAAATGGGTCATTTTGTGAGAGCCAAGAGTCCAGTACAATGGCTTCAGCAACATTGCATAATTTAACATTTAGTCAAGATGAAGATGAGCAAGATGGTACTGCCCTTAAAAATAAAAGCTGTTGAATCACCTCTGGAAAAGATATCTCAGCAATGCTGCTTGGTTTATAAATATTTGGTTGATAGCAAACTATACTAAAAAGTAGTATTATACTGTTCGCACTATGCAACATGACAAGTTTCAGATCCAAAAAGTTTGTGGAACAGGTTGCTGCCCACCTAATGGACACAAGATAGCATTGCTTAAAGCAAGACTAAGAGAATTAACAAATTTGATTTTTTAATTTAAAAAAAAAATGAAATAACAGTGAAATGAACAATGCCAAAATATGTAAACCATCTCAACCAAAAATGCATTACATCCAACTAGTACTATACCATGTTTATATGAAAATGATGTTCATATTGTACGAAAAATTGAGTTGGGTAGACATTTTCTTGAAGCAACAAATAAAACTTTCTTTAAATAAATTTTTAGGCTTTAACCTTGTTAAACTATTTCCACAGACGTTTCATGACAGTTCTTTTCATTCATAAGCAAATATGTTCGTCTCCTTTGTGACTTCATGGTTCAGATCAAGGAAACAATGGTTAATTCATGCAACAGTAAGAATCCAGAAGAAAATTAATAATGTGACGACTAAATTCAGGAAATTTGTGAACATCACATGGAATAACTGAAGAATATCACATCAAATACAAAGTTCTCTTTGATGAAAACAAAGTTGATAATTTTTTTTAAAATTAGGTGGGGATATGGAAATTTCAACACACAGAATTACCTTTTAGACAGGTAACTAATGAGAGGAGTCACAAGAGACAGGCTTAGATGGTGGAGTTGGTTCAGTTGGCTGAGTTGGGGATTTGGTAGGTGCATGTGCAGGTTCAGCTGGTGCCTCTTCAGATAAAGGGGGCCCAGGTACATCATGAGAAGGGAGTGTGTCAGAGTAATATCTCTCCTGATAATCTAAAGTTATTTTACAAGGTGAATACTTTTCTTTGAGAACCTTTATGACAGATTCTTGAATGAAGTCTACATCTTCAGGAGGGCAATAGTTATCAGCACTAGATCGGGATATGGTTATCATTGATGGAGGATAAGGTAGCGAAGCAAGCAGGCCACAAAGAGATACATCAATCATTTTTGTGATATCTTGCCGGCTTGTGACATGATGTGGGAGGCCATCATCATCACATGTACAACCTGCATTATTTACTTCTTCCCAGTCTATGTCTGTATTTGGATAATGAGTTTCGATTTCTCTAAGTAAAGCTCTCACCTGTAAGAAAAACATTAAATTCTATTATTACAAATTTTAAAGACAGGAAAATTATGTGGTCAAACAGAATTGAACATACCCCAGGTAAATAGGGTGATGATTTTAAGTCTGGCGGTAGATCTTGAAGATTACCATGTGCAGCTAAATGTTTACAAAAACTCTGAAGATCATCCAACTGCTTTTTCCTTCCAGCACAGATACAATCAAGATCAATTGAGAGGTTTTTTGGAAACTGATATAGCCTAGTTAACCTGTTGTAGACACTTGCTTTTTCATACAGTGAAAGAAATGGATTTCGCGTGGAGAAGAAATCAAGGTCTATATCAAGTACAAAGGTTCCATCTTCTTCAACGTGATTTCTAATCATCCTTCCAAGATCAGCAAAGTTGTCGGATGCATTTTCTTCCACTACTTTTCCAAGAGTAAATACTTCAAGATCAACTTCTCTCTTATTCGACATTTCATTCTCAGGAGCCCACAGGGCATCTGATAGAAAATAGGGCTCTGAACTGAAACAGTAGTACAGCAAACATATTGAAAATTGTAAATAGCTAAACACTGACCTATCATTCTAGCTTTGGCCTTACCAAGTCACTCTGATACCATTGCTCCATGTCTCTTCTCCAATCAAGAATGAATGCAGCCCTTCCTTTATTTGGTTGCTCCATGGGGGTTTCAGCCACACTATCTTATTAAAGTGTCCTGCATACGCAGCAGGAAGTATCCAATTCTCAATACTGATGTTATCAAAGAGGTCGTATTTTGAAAACACTGTTTTGGCATCCATATCATAAGGTATCAGTAAATCCGGATGCGAGTCTAAATGAATGAGAGAGTTTTTCTCCAAAGGCAAATATTTGGATCCGATAGCTTTGTAAATGAATGGGATGACTTCATGATGATTTTCGACCACTATTATAGGGAGTTCCTTGTATTTTCTGTGCGTAATTCTCTTCGCCGGTTTCGCCATTTTCACTTACTACACAGCACCACACAGAAAGTCCGTCCGTAGCAGACGACATCGATCCGACCAAGACCGACCAACCAGCACTACCAGCACCCCTCCCCCTCCTTTTTCCCCCGAGGTATAGTGCGTTCCCTCTAGCCCGTGAAATTATTTTTTGAGTGATATCAGTAATGTGAAAAATACATGGACATAGTTTTGATATGGCTGAAAAATTACTCTGCACAAGTAAAAATCAAAACATTTCCAAAATCGAAAATGTGACAAAAATGTGCTACCACGCACGTATGGCCCCGGGAGCATAGGCAGCCCGCACGCACTCCCGCCTCCTGGCTAGTCTACCCACCAGCTCCAGGGAGCACGGAGCGCGGGCTGTGGAGGCTGCAGGCAGGTTTAGCCCTCGGGCCGCTTCGCAGGGGCGACCTCAGGAAATGAGCCCGACTGCTTGTCTTATCTCGGCAGATGGAGACAAACTTTTCCTGAAAGTGGATCGGCTCTCCTCCTCCTCCGGCCCGCTGCTCCGGCTGCTGACGACCGACGACGCCTGGTCGACGCCTTCCACCCCGCGAGGCTAATGAGCGCTGCCGAGAGTCTCCCCTCCACGGCATCGGCCCGCAATATCGGCGAACAATTGAGATAGCGTCCGGCGGCGTTGGTTCGCTGAACGCGGCGTGTTTTGCATACCGACCGCGCGGTTCTCCTACAGCAGCAGCGCTGCGGTTTCGGCCGCTTCCAGGGAAGGGCAGCCAGCCGGGGGCTCTGCCGGCCGTCCGGGCGGGGCCCGAATCCCATCCGATCCCATCCCGGGCCGGTGTAACCGTATCGTATCCCGGCCCAATTAATTTGTGATGCCTTGCCTGCGACGGCGGCGGCGGCGCGGCGCAGAGCGGCGTTGTGTCCCTGTCGGCCGCGCCAGGTGTCCCTGGGCTGGGCCGGGCGACCCGAGAGCGGGGGACGAGGATGTGGGGAGAGACGGAGAGCGAGAGAGATGCCGGGGAGATGGAGAGGGGGAGCAGGGAGAGCAGGAGAGTCACGTGTTGCCCCGGGACGCGCGGCGGTGGCGGCCGGGCAGCGTTGGGCTGTAAAGTCGGGGAACGATGATTTCATCTGATTTGCAGCTCGGCGGCACTTTGAAGTGACCGGAGCGCGCGCGGCGCGCGGCCCGGCCCCGGCCTACCGGCGGCGGCGGTCGAGTCTCGCGCCGCCGCCGCGCCCGATGTAGCCTCGCGCCGTGGCTTCCGCCGCCCGCTGCTCGCCCGACCGTTTTACTGCCTTACGCGGAAAATCTTCCCCACCGGGGGGCAATTTTGTCTTTTGAGCCGAAGCAGAGTCGCCTCGCGCTGCGACTCCAGCAGCAGTCCGCGCGATCTGCCCGATCTGCCGCGGAGCGGAGGAGGAGAGGGGAGAGAGGTCAGGGTTAGTCAGGTCAGGGTGCGTCACCACACATGTGCAGGGTTGTGTAGGCGGCCACCATCTATGTACGATCGTACTTTCAAACGACGGGCGGATTCTCTCAGTTGTTTGCCTCCGGCGGACGGACGGACGGACAGACTGACAGACACAGACACAGACACAGACACACACACACACACACACACACACGGCTGAGCGGGGAGTCTCTAATGAGGATCGCATACGACCATCATCGCTTGATGATACGTACGTCCCGTAGCCGCCCC